GATTATAAGATATTGGCACAAATTCTGGCTAATAGAATGAAACCTGTATTAGATCAAGTTATTGATGAGAGTCAGTCTGGTTTCATGCAGAATCGTCATATCTCAAACAACATAAGATTAATTTTAGACATAATAGATTACCCAGAACTTGTACAGGATGATAGTCTTATTCTTTTTTTAGATTTCTACAAGGCGTTCGACTCCTTAGAGCATGAGTTTATTTTTACTGCTTTAAATAAATTTGGGTTTGGTCAGTCCTTCTGTAATGCCGTTCGGACACTGTATTCCAATAGTAACAGCTCCATAAAGCTTGCCACTGGTATTTCCCCAAGATTCTCTCTAAAGCGTGGAGTGAGGCAGGGTTGCCCCCTATCCGTATATTTATTCCTTCTTTCTGTGCAACTCCTTAATTCACACATTAAACTCAGTTCTTTAAAAGGCCTGGTCATTGCTAACAGAGAAATACTCATAAGTCAGCTGGCAGACGATACAGCTCTCTTCCTCAGAGACGCCTCGCAAGTTTCAGTGGCCATTAACAATATACAGCCATTCTCTAAAGCCTCCGGACTTTCACTCAACCTGCATAAATGTGAACTTTTACCAGTTAAAAGTTGTTTAGCAACTTCAATTCATGGAATACCTGTAAGAAACTCTGTAAGATACCTTGGAATTCAAATGATAAAAAATGAGCAATCCAGATGCTCCACAAACTTCATTCCTATTATAGATAAATCCCAAAAAATCTTTAATCATTGGCTACAGCGAGACCTGTCATTGAAGGGTAGAGTTCTGCTATCGAAGGCTGAAGGTATCTCCCGTCTAACCTATGCTGCCCAGTCACTACATGTTGATAATACAACCTGTAAGTCAATTAACAAATTATTATACAATTTTTTATGGAAAAATAAAACTCACTACTTGCGTAAATCAGTAGCTTTAAATTCATATGATAAAGGAGGTATAAATTTTATTGATTTCGGTGCTCTTAACAACACCTTTAAAATAAACTGGATTAAAAAGTATTTAAGAAATCCCACTTCTATCTGGAACTTTATCTCACATCATGTGTTCTCTCATTTAGACGGCCTTAACTTCCTACTGCTCTGCAATTACAGTATTCCAAAAATACCACTGAAACTTTCTCACTTTCATCAACAAATTCTTTTGGCATGGGCGCTGATTTACAAACACAATTTCTCTCCACAAAACTGTTTTATTTGGAATAACTGCAATATTATTTATAAAAATAAAACTCTTTTTTTTAAATAACTGGTTTAATAATGGAATAATCTTGGTTAGTCAGTTATATAGAGAAGATGGACTCTTTTATAATGACTCTGAGTTCCTCAGGAGATGTACCGATAACGCCTAAAGAATTCTCAATAGTGTTCGATGCCATCCCATCTGGTCTGTCCATGTTACACAGATGCTCCCACAGTGCTCCACTACAGGTCACTCCCCCGGATGTGTTACATTCTTCTCTTGGCAATGTTTGCTTTTCCTCTCATAAGTCTATAAATACCAAAATAAGATCTCTCTTTCAGGATGCAATGGTCTCTGTTCCATCAGCCATATTTTATTGGGCCAATTTTGTAACAGATATTGAATGGAAAAAAGTTTGGACTTTACCACAAAGGTTTTTCTTAACAAACAAAATTAAAGAGATTTCCTTTAAGTTGATTCATAAGTTTTACCCTACCAAACAATATTTGTCCAAATTTATGGCTGAAATAAATGTAAATTGTACCTTCTGTCAAGAGCAACCTGAAACAGTTTCTCATCTGTTTTGGTCATGTAAATTTACGTGTAAATTCTGGAAGGATTTCCACAAGTTTATTACTGACTCTGTTCTCCCTAATCTTCAACTATACTATAAGGATGTTATCTTTGGCTATTATAATTTTAAAGACAAGGACAATGATGCTTTCTTCTTTATAAATTTGGTTTTATTTTTGGCAAAATTTCATATACACAAAAGCAAAGTCCTCGGCAGAAAGCCTGAACTTCTTGGATTAAAAATGGAACTTGCACAATATATAAGGACAATCTCCTCATCAAAAAACACGAAGGCTCTCAAGACTGTTAACATCTATAACCGATTGAAACTGCTAACTTGATTTTGGCTCTTGTAAACTTTTGTTTATTTATGTTCCCCTTAATTTATTTTATTTTTTGTACTCACTTTTGTCTCACTGTCCTTGTCACTCTTTCTGTTCCTCATTGTACTACCACAATGTCATCTTTTATGTGATCCCTGTTTTACTTGACTGTATGTTTAAAATGTGATAAATAAAGTTTAAAAAAAAAAATCGTGACTCTTCAACTAATCGTGGCAGCTCTAATTACAGATATCATCTTTCACTTGTGTATTTTAATGTGTTTCAGAACAATATTTCTGTTGTGCAGACTTACGGTTGGTAAACAGCAAATATCCAAGTCATTCAAAATAACATCTGTCATGTAGCTCCTGACTCCCTAAGAGTCAAAAGCTTTACAGTATTTTTTGAAGACATACAAACGTTTATTTTCAAACTAATAACTGAGTTACAGGGTCAAAAATAAAAAATTAACAGTCAGTACTTTTGTTGTTCTTTTTGACAAATTCCTGTTAAATGTATTGGACCCTCTGTTTTTAGGTTTTATTTTTTTCATCTTGACTTCCTTGGAAATGCTAGCAAGAAGTCAGTTCAACAGATGTAACTTATAGTGAGATTGGAGGCGGTGCAGTATTAATATCAGAATCCCTTAGTTTTGATTATTAATCCTCTGGCTGACCCCATATTGCATTTTTTCATCTTAAAATGATGCACAGTCTTTATGTGAAATGTACTGTCTTCTTGATATTTATCAACCCATCAGTTTGTATTTCTGTGTGTTAATAAAGTTCCAACTTTTGTATTGTAACATTTTTGTGTTTTTCTTTCTTTAGTTTTTCAGACAACTCAAACTTTTAAACACTTGTAATGAGCTGTGTGTGTGTGTGTGTGTGTGTGTGTGTGTAAGAAGTACCACTTTTAACAACTTCATTAATATTGTTTTGTATCATAGTAATAAAGGTTAGTTTTAATGTCTGTATCCCCTCCTTATTTAATCTGAGATGTTCTTTTCTAAAAACCTCAGGATTGTGCAAGTACTTGTTGAGTTTAGAAGGTAAGTGAAACACTAAACAGAAAAGAAAAGAGACAGAGATGTGTGTTTTCTGTTAATACCATAATTGCAGTCATCTTAAACAAACACATGACATTTCTTTGGCACGATTGCTTTTTCACTGATTTGAAACTTTAATGTGTGGTACAACAATTCTTCTAGTTAAATAGAAAAAAAATGGGCTGTCTGTGTAAAAAGCATAAATGGCTGTTTGTCTTGGTGTATTGGTCTTTTGCCAGCATGGCAAACTAGATCAATCTGCTGGGACATCTGATTTGAGGACAATCACTTGCTTTTCCAAAGGACACTGACAACCAGACATTAGATGCCACAGCCCTGGCCCACGGTATCCCCCCCCTCTCTACCCCCCTCTCCCCCCCATGCATGCGGTGGGCCTTCTGTAGAAAGAGAGCAGCTTAATGAAGGTGACAAGGTGAAAACAGGAGGATTGATGTGCCGGTGCTGTGAGGGCATGTATAACACCACCTACCCAAGTGTTGAATATAAGGAGGCTTTGAAGAATCTACAATAATTGTGTGTTGTTTGTACATGTGTGATGTTTTCAGGGTTTTTTAAATAAAAATCAGCTTTCTTTTTAATTGCTATTAACTGACAGTCAGATAACCAGCTTTTAAAAACATATTCATAAACACTTTGCAGTCAACAAAATTTGCACAGAGGTTATAGATGAAATAAAAGTATCACGTGTGTTCTAGGTGTGTTTATAACTCTGTTATTGTACATATTCTGTGTTATACATCATAATCATTCCAGTCTTTATTTTTTTACTGTTTTAATCTTTATAAAACTGTTATTTATTTATTTATTTTTGTGATTTCTGCTGTCCTATTGGTCTGGTCTCTCTTGAACATCTGAGAATGTGATATTCATAATAAAAGGATTTAAGTTTACTGCCAAAAAATGATTGCACTTCATAACAGAAATGTGCTAACTGGCTTGAAATAGATTGAAACTGTTATGAGATTGCTTCAGGGAGCAGACATGACACCGTCTTTTAGGTTTCGCCATCACTTTGTATCATGCCATTGACTGAGGTGAGCAGATGAAAGAAGAAGAAGAGCAAAAACGTCAGTGTGTATTTGTGCTATGTTTTACAAAATAGCAAAATACATGAATAAAAGTAAAACATAAATCTCCTTCCATACACCAAAAAACAAATCGCACTTCCGAACAGAGCCAAAAGGGGGCAGCATGTAACAGACGTTTTAAAGAGACTTGATGTGACTCAAACTAACCTGGACCTGACAAATCCTAAACGCCGCTGTCCTCTATGAGACTCTTAATTATGGGTTAATCCATCAATTTAAACATACATTGCAAACAAATTCAAAAGTTGAGGAACAGGTTTTTTAAACTTAAGAAATTCCAGAAAGAAAAAAAAAAAACAAGTCACGGGACAATAAATAATATGCGGATTTGTTTCTTTCCATTCAGTTGACATTTTATAACAGAACAATGTATTTATATCTTCACTTTACATTCATATATTCCTCCAGGAATTTCCAGGAATGCTTTTCACTCTTCTTTAATGCAAAAATGAAGCTGTAGTTTATACTAACAGACGACTCTTAAACCGAGTTTTATAGAGCTCTGTTATTAAATGTTGCATAATTGTTGAGTATAACTTAGATATCTATAGATGTTTGCGCTTATTTATAATCATTCGTGTTTTAGCACAAGAAACCAAGAAACCACGAGAAAAGAAGAACAGTTTACACTAACAGGAACTGTATCTTTTCACTTGGTTCAGTCCCCCCTACAGTCATGCTGAAATGGTTTGTCCTTGCATATAAACGGTGAATCTCGTGCTGTCACAGCAGATTGTACTCAGCACTACAATGACATAAAACGGGAATGCTGCGATGGACAGGAGCACTTCAGAGGATGGACAGATGAAGTACGGTGTCTTTGCGTTTAGTTCACGTAGAGTAGCTCACACATGAGCTGACAGGCAGTAGAACGCTTCTAGGATTTAGTAGTAATTAAAAAAAAGTTGTTCTCCTTTCTCTCTCAGTGCTGCTGTTGACTGGAAACAGCAGTAAGATGCTGCCTTGGAAGAAGAATAAGTTCGACCTGATTGAGGAAGACAAGCAGTCCAAGCAGAAGGGCTATGCGGTGAGTCTCAACTACTCGGCGCTCACCTCCTTCGCCAAGTCCTGCCCCGAGAGCGCACTCAACAGGGTGGGCAGCATGTTCAAGTCAAAGAGGAAAAAGCTGAAGATCACCAGCGAAGATCCCACGTACACGGTGCTTTACCTGGGGAACGCTACCACGATCCAGTCCAAAGGAGACGGCTGCACGGACGTAGCGGTGAGCAAGATCTGGGGCAAAAGCGAGATGGGCAAGAACGGCACTAAGATGAGGCTGACCATCAGCTCCCAGGGCATCCGCATGGTGCATGTGGATGACAAGGCCAGGAGACCGGGACACTTGTACTTGCTGCACCGGATAACCTACTGCGTCGCGGACCCGCGGCTACCCAAGATTTTCGCTTGGATTTACAGGCACGAGATGAAGCACAAGGCCGTAATGCTGCGCTGCCACGCAGTGCTGGTGTCCAAGCCGGAGAAGGCAAAAGCCATGGCGCTGCTGCTGTACCAGACCTCGGCAACAGCCCTGGCTGAGTTTAAAAGACTAAAGCGGAGGGACGATGCCAGGCACCAGCAGCAGCAGCTCATAGGGGAACAAACCATCCCCTTGGTGCCTCTCAGGAAGCTGCTGAACGGACAGTGCTACTACAAACCCCCGGTGGAGCGCAGCCGGAGTGCACCAAAATTGGGCTCTATCACGGAGGACTTGGTGGGGGAGGAAGAGGAGGAGAAAGCAATGCACTTTGAGTGTGAGGACATTCTGGACACGGACACTGATTGTGTTGCCAATGGCAAACAAGAGTTGACTCAAATTATTAATGACTTGGGAGAGATGAGCATAGGAAACGACGTGCAGACGCTGAAAGCTGACCTCAGAGTCACCAGACTCCTCTCTGGTGAGAGCACAGGGAGCGAATCCTCTATAGAAAGCAACCAGGAGCCGCCACCACTAATCAATGGCTTTGATGAGGTAAAGGTGCAAGAAACTGCCTAAAAAACTTTGCGCATTTCTGGGCACCTGTAGCGCACCGTTCTGTTGAGCCACGATGTCTCCTTGAGAAACAGTTACAAAGTGCTTGTTTGACATGTGCCACTGAGACTAATAATTGAGAAGACATAAACGTAATTTGGGGGCTAAACAGACAGACAGTTAGGCTACTGAACTAAGTTAAAAGATTGTGTAAACAAAGAAAAAAAAAGGCATACCCATTTGAGAGACAACTTTAATGGCAAATTCCCAGCGCGCCTCAGGGCGCACGGCACTAATTCCATCTCTTTTGTTTAAGAGGATTTGCTGTAGCATCGAGCTTGTTTACTTGACGTTTTTTTTCCTCACTTGAAAATGTCATGTTTCTTCTGTAACATGCTCCAATCATCAAGATCCAGAAGCTCCCAAACATTCCTTAAAAAGCATTTACAAAAGCAGATTTGTTTTCCATCAGGCTTCCTTTACAATCCCCATCAGGGCGCCTGCTCGTCACCTTTTTATTTCTGCACTGTTGCGACTTCATTGAAGTATTATTTTGACTACCATGTACATACGTTTGCTGGTATGTTGTCTGAAACATAAGTGTCTTATCTTTGCTGTGCAAAAGAAAAAAATACCTTTTATGTATTAAGATGTAAAGTAAGATGTTTTAAGTATAAATATGTTATTTTTTAAAATATAAATATATATGTGGTTTGTTATGTGAAATTCAAAGAATTAGCAATAAAAAAGGAATTAAATGAATGTTTTATGTGAATTAATGCTGAAATACAAGTAGGACATCTTTTCTTTCAGCACTGTCTGATATGAGCGGGTTTACCTTGGGAGGCTCAAAATGAGGTCAGATTTGCACTGCTGAATAAAAGTCACATGGAGGCTTAAAAAGCACAACCCTAAACTTCACATCAATATTATCTGTTACCACCAAGCTATTGGTGTGACTGTAAATGGGTATTTCATTTAATAGCCTTGAATTGATCTTTATCCCCGACCACCACCACCTTTTTTTTTTTTTTTTTTTTTTTTTCCCAAATTGCTTTCAGGCTGTTGAAGTTATTTAGTTAAGGTACTGAAGGCCCATTCATTGTAGCTGGCCTCAGGGAAGGCAGGCCACACATACAGACGTCACCGGTAGCACAAGCTGTGAGAACATCACATGGCAGAAGTAGCACCAGAAGTTCTTCAGCAGCATATTCTAGCTGGTATTTACTTTTACATCAGTTTGCCTTTATTGAGCGACAACAGATAGAATTCAGAGCATTACAGATTTATATGCTGCAATATGTGACGGGTATATAGACTCATGCGTTTGAGTCACCCGGTTCATTTCATTCATATTTGCTCAGCTCACTAAAATCAGATAATCTACATTGTTCCTTTGGTGTGTTGCTAAAGTGTCACCTAAATCAAAGTGTGACTGATAAAAAGATGGAGTCACATCTTTTTCTTAAAGGCACAGCACTCAGCCTAACATGTAACACTCACAGAAGCAAAGACACAAAATCACCTGATGTGATCTGTGGTCAGCGAAGGATATGACTGGGCCAGCAGTTCTAAATGTGGAAGATGTGTTACTAAATATCACCGTCACTTTCATTTTAGAGACAGCAGCAGGCCCACGCTGATGCCACACAGCTCTTCCCAGTGTTAGCCAGATCGGCATATAAACTCAGAAGCACGGATGCACGGATGCCATCGGTATTGAGGACCTGCATGTGAGGGTGAACACTCTAGTCCCATGGAGCATGCTCTGGAGGAACAGCTCTCCATTCTCACTAATGACACTGGTACTGTTAGCGAACACAAACGGGACAGAGTGAGACACGAGGAGCAAAAACCCAAGCTCTCCGTGGTATAGAGGTGGTCGATTGTCATATGGACAGATAGGAACATACAGATGAAAAACAAATAAAGGAAGAAAGAGAGAACTGCTTCGTGTATTTCCGTCAGTGGTTGGTGAGTCATAAAACAAGCTTTCCAGTGTCTCATTATAAATTGATGTGCTTTCAGGGGACACAAATACACACGCACACTAAATTGAGACTGTGGGTGCTTTATTTGTGGTCTGTGAAACGGTGAAATAGGAACAGAGTACAGAAACCCATATAGTTAGTTTCTCTTCCTCATGCAATCTGATGGGCTGCTTGCACCAGCTGCACTCTCATGGAAATCACCTGTTACTCTGCAAAGACACAATGACATCATGTGCCCAGCGTCATGTAATTAGAGAAGACGCAGCGTTGTGACCACAGAAACACACGAGACGGAGCAAAAGGCCATTTGTCTGACGCTCCTGCCTTTTGCAGCTGCTTAGTCTGCTTATGGATGTCTGGATGTTTCTCTCTGACCTACATTCTCACACAACCATTCTTGTGTTCCATCTCTCTTATAGCAGTTGTGCTCCCCGAATCTCCCAGGTTACCTGGAAATCAGCCACTTGTGAAGCCAGCCCTTCCGCACAATTAAAGGCTTGAGAGTCTTTGTTCACAGCAAGAGGTTGTAGGACACGTTTCACACTGCCAAGGGAGAAAGCTGAGCTTCTGATTGTTTAGAGGAGAGCTAGCAAAAAAGTCTTCTTCATGTTCACTTGCCACTTTTTTCCTTTGAACAAGCACTCAGGTGTTTGACCTACCAACTATTATTATTATTATCGTTATTATGAGATGCTGAGAGTAAATGTGATGTCCACATATGAGGATGCAGGGTCTCAGTAGATTAATGGCTGCTGTTCTTTTCACACGTTACAATATGCAAACATGTATACTGTAATGTGCAGATTTTATTATAATAGTATAAACAGAAGAAAATGGAGGCATGGACTGATGTTCTTTTTTGGACAGATGATTATAATAATTGAAATGTCATTACTCTGTCTCAGGCAGTTAAAGACAGTTTAACATAACTATCTCAATTCACTGATTCATTTTTGTTTAACCAAGAATTAATAGCGGGGAGGTTAACGCATTTGCCTAACAAGGAAAAGATCCCTGGTTTGAGCCCGGGAGGAGATATAAATCTCTTTGGGAATGCACCAGGGATAAAACAAATCTTGAACAAATCAAATGTGTAGAGCTACCTGCTGTGTTGACCCTGTGTGAATAACAGAGCAGCCGAAATTAGCTGCCTTCTAATCAGAAAGTAGAGATAGAGCACCTCTCTTGAATCCTGGGTGTCCTCAAGATAAGCAGCATGAACCTGACGTGCCCTTCGATAGTGGGGGAAGCAGGATTCTCAGTGGAAACCAGCACAAGCAGATAGAGACCATGCAAACATACAGCCTGCCTGCGGTCAATCCCCAAAGTCTCTGTGGGGGACCAGTGTTAACCACTCATATCTGCGACCAAAATGACCAAAAAAAAGAGCCTTTTTAAGGCTGCAGCCTGCAATCATTATCTCAGTAAGTGTAATAGGATACTGGAATATTAGTTACAAATACCCCAAAAGTAATCAAATTGTTTGATTTGAATGGTGAATGGTACAAAATAGAAAAACATCCCATTTATTATCACACAAAACAAAGAAAGTTAAATTATTAGAAGTACAAGGTCATTGTAATTTAAATAGTTCCATTAATCGAAATAATTTTTTTTTTGTCAATCAACTGTTTGAATAATAGACTTATCAACAATTTATTGTCTGAAGTATTCATCTTATTTACTCAAGTGAAATCAGATTTCCTCATTATAATATCAGTTTTTTGCAAGTCTGCATCAGAGTATAATTTGAGTAAAAGTATGAAACAATTAACAGATGACAAGAATGCATCCCACAAGAGGGAACCTTACATGTGTTATATTACTGTAAATTATACACAGTTTATACAATTATTATCACTGATGTGAAGCTGTGGAGCTATTCGTAGCTATACTATGCATTGTTAGGTGGTTTAATCTTATTTTATAAACCCAGATTTAGTTTTGTGCATAAAGTAAATGCAATGCCATGTAGCACAGTGAAAAGCACATCATTATTTCTGACAGCAGAACCACAAAGTAGCACAAAACCTCCAAATATCTGACTAAAGTTGTTTTCCAGCACTGTATCCAGAAGTGACTCACAGGGTTCAGTGGGTGCATGACATGTATTGCTCTCTGCAGCGGTAGAGTCAGCACATGAAAGCCCTTCATCAAAATTGATCACTCTATAATTTACTGGGATAATGCAGTGCGTGTATAATATAATTTAATGTTTACACCTTTACCCCCAGCTACTCGCAGACAAATAATAAATGGACCTGGCAGTTTGGGTCTGCATTGAAACACACACAGAAGAGCAGAGCTTCCCAATTATCTGCTATTTGAATGGCACCGCAGGCCATCCCTGTACCAGATCACCACCGATGCCAGACCGCCACACGGCTTAATTTTGAACCACGCTACAAAATCCATTCATCTATAATGCATGAGAAGAGCTGGGAAAGCATCAGCGCTGTTAGATAGTGGGCCTGGATCTGATTACACCAGTGGCGTGAGAGACGTCAGACGGGTTGAATCAGAGCGCAGAGCCATGCTGACCTTTGCTTGCTGGTGGAAACACATGAACGACATCTCAAGTTTTTGCGGCAGGGAGGAACATGAGCCGTCGTGCCCACAGCTCATTTTTAGCTGTTGCATGTAGACTGTATCTAAGAACTGCAGGCAAGAGACAGGGATCTGGATGCATGAGATTACTATTTGTAGTACAAGGGTGTATAATTATCACACTCTTCAATTACAGCAACCACTACTGAAGGTCAGGATGAGCACAACATAAAATTAGGTGCAGTGGGCACTGAGGCAGAGTTGTGGCAAACTTTGTTGGTCTGTTTTTGGACAAGATGTGTTTTGACCGCCGTATTTACAGGTAGACAATGTCAGATAGAGTCAGTGTCCAATTGCATCCATGGCATGTGCAGGATGATGGCTGAGTGTGTTAGAAAGGTAGACACAGATAGACAACAACAGAGAAAGAAATCTACTGTCATGATATTGTCATATCTCATTAGTTTGACTCTGATAGCAACCCTCCAGGAGCTGTTTAGATGTGTGTGCCTATGCATGCAAGTTAACCCAGTGAGTTAGCACTTTTTGGTCTTTGCCCAATTTACAAATGCTTTATGTTTTGACTTAGTGTAGAAGGGGCAAAGACAGATATGCTTTAATAAATATTTGAGAACCTGGATGCATTATAGTGTGTTTGGATTATATAGCCCAAGATGAAGCACTTACACTAAAGCTCATCCAGCTGCAGATAACAGCTGATCTCAAAATCATTCCACATCAGCTGAATGCTCAGCAAAATATGCAAATATCCGATTATCTGAGATTAACTTGATAGCTGTGCTGTTTAAGATCCTTAGCCTACCTACAGTTACTGTCTCGGCAAGCTGCTTTGCAACCCACGTCCACTGCAGCTCCTCCTTTACACGCTGTCTGACTTGATTGTAGTCTTAAATAGCTGCTCTGTTCTGCACAGGGGTCTTGCTGCTTTTCTCCCCAGCTTAAACTTGTTAGATATTCATGTGCAAATTACCAAATCAAACCCATACCAGCATCACAAATGGAAAGAATCTTCTTTTGACTAAAGTCAATGACTGAACTTAGAGTTTAGTGCAAACCAGAGGCTGCAAGCCAATACTTTGGCACAGTGGAAATGCTGATATGTCCAATAAATCCAGCTTGCAGGCAGAAAGGGCATTTGAGGATGGCGGGAATCTTGGTGTGGGTATTGTTGTCATATTTGTGAAACACTGTGTAGGAATGGTG